GAAAAAAGATCCCCCCAGTCAGAGAAACACCCTCCGCCACCACACACACACACACACACACACACACACTCGGCAAACGACCTAAGGGGTCTCGGAGCAAGTTGCTAGGGGATCCCCCCCATAGGGAGACAGCCAGAGGGAGGAAAAAAGAGACACTGGGGCGGGGGAGCCCGTACTTTAAATGAAAGCAAACCCGGGTATTGTATTTTAAAGTCGGGGGCAGAATATTTGCGCCTTTTGGTGAGAACCAGAAAAAAAATCTGTTTTCTTTAAAAAATCAGGAACCATCAGGAGGGGGGAGGGAGCGGAGAAAGGGGGAGGGGTCTTCCCATTCATTTGAAAAAACCGAATTATACGGGGAGGTGGGAGAAAGATGAAGGGGGGAGAGAAGGGCTGCATCCCGATTGTAAAATCAGCCACCTTACCTTGCTTTTGACTTCCACCGCGCTATAACCAAAATACCGCAGACTCTGAGATTTATTAAAACTCCGATTCATTTTCTCGGCCCCCAGTTCAGCCCCCACCCCCCCTCCGGTCCTGCGCCCCTTCTTCGCCCTCGGTCCACAAGGGCTGGGAAGATCCGCCGCCTCCGTGAGAAAGCGCCCCCCGGGCGAGCGGCTCGTTACTGCTGCTCCGGCCCTGGAATGCAACTTTCTTTGGAACGCTCAGCCTCCCAGGATTCTTTCACTTTGTCCCAGCGCGCTCATCAGAACGCCCGCCTCACTTCGCTCTCTGGGCTTCTGTTTGTTACACTCGCTCTCGGGCGGCTCGCAACGCGCCTCGCTGACTCAATAGGGAAGGCGGCACAGCACGTCACCGAGCCCCGCCTCCAAGCGAGCCTCCCACTTCGAAGGTTTTGCCCGTTTCAAATCCAGGAGCCGTGTGAGCGCCTCCGCCGCGCCTCTCCCGCCGTCGCCCGCCAGGGGGCGCGCGATCCGGATTAAGATTTATTGGCGATAACAGGATCTGCCGGCTAGCTAGCGGGTGGATCATAATGGCCTGTGCCACGCAAAGGTCTGAAACGTTAATAAAACAAGAATCAAGTGGTACCTTGCCGACAGCATGTATTTTCGCGAGTCTCCGTTTCAGATTATGTGGAGATCAAACTTGGAATCTTTATCCGGAAACCATAGACGATATTTAAACAAAAAACCAACAAAAAAACCTCTGTTTAAAAAACTCTGTTTCTAAAAAGAGATGTCTGAATTATTATAAATATATTCATGTGGTTTTTGAATTTCCCCACAGTTTTTTAAACCATCACACTAAACATAGAGATACACATTATGTTTTTGTCTCCAGTTTAAAAAAAAATCAAAATATTACCTGTAATCTTTCTGTGTGGCAGATTGTGTAGATACATTAACATCAGAGTCTGTGTAACAAGAAGGAGAGATTGGATTTATACGCCACCCTTCACTACATGAAGGAGTCTCAGAGCGGTTTACAGTCTCCTTTCCCTTCCCCTCACCAGGTGGGGAAGGTGGGGCTGACAGAGCTCTTTCATAAGAACATAAGAGATGCCAATGTTGGATCAGGCCAAAGGCCTATCCAGTCCAACACTCTGTATCCCACAGTGGCCAGAAATACCAGTGCCATCAGGAGGTCCACCAGTGGGGCCAGGACATTAGAAGCCCTGTTCCTAACCACTACACCAAACTGACTCCAAGACACAGAACTGATGCAATTCTCAAGGGAAAACACTACCAGAGCTGTAATCAGGGCAAGGGCACACAAAGCAGTGGGGTGCAGAAATGTATATAGTGACTAAATGTTGTGATGATTACTCTTGTTATATATGAATTTACCTACTAAAATAATTACTATGAAAGGATACAGGGTGTGCTTTTATATTCTTGCCATCTCAAGATTCAGCTGGGACAGTCCTAATTTTCTGGCTGTCATCTCAAGTGAATTGCCTCTTCTTGGCAAGACACCTTTTTTGCTGAAACTCACCCAGCTGGTGGGGGGGGACACTTGTGGAATGCTAGCAAATATGCAAAGTGATCCATTTAGACTTCTTGCATAAATTAGGTGTTGCTTGTGAACAGACAGCATATTTTAAATGGCGGATAGTAATCAAGCAGAAAAAGAACAATTTATTATGTGTACTTAAGCTTAATTGCATCAACCATGTAATGCAGGCTCTGCCTCCAGTGTGCCACATGCAGAGATCAGGTTTTGTTTTCAGCAAAGACCCCAATGAGCCAAGCAAGTGAGTCAAGCTATGCAAAGGAAAGGGACCTCCTTTCACCATGGA